CTCTCTGGCTTAGTGCCTCTGAATGTAGAGGTTCCCCTCAGCCACCATGGCTAGCGGCCACGCCCAGCAGGGACTCATTAGCATAATAGGCCACACCCAAGAGCAGAAACTCATTAGGATTGGCTACATCAGGGGTGTGCGGCCTAACATGCAAAGGAGTTCCTGCTACAAAAAGTGGCCCTGGGTTTTGACCACAAACAAGGTAAACAGAATAACAAGCAAAAGGTGGGTGTGGCTGAATGACCACACTTCTGGTAACATGGGGGTGCGGCCTAATATGCCAATAAGCTGTGCTGTCAGGGGTGTGGCCTAATATGCTAATGAGTTCCTGCTGTTGGGTGTGGCCTATTATGCTAATGAGTTCCTGCTGGGCTTTTTCTACAAAAAGAGCCCTGGTGGAATGGAACTCTCCTGCCTCCTGCAGCTCGCTGAGCTCCACAACATACCGGTTCTGGGTTGCCAACCTCCAGGTGGGGCCTGCTGCTGTTCTGGAATTATAACTGATCTCCAGACTACAGTTCCTGAGGAGAACGTGGCAGCGTTGGAGGGTGGACTCTGTGCTCTTGCATCCCTGCTGAGTTCCCTCCCTTCACCCGTCCCCACCCGCCCCAAGCTCTGTCCCCCAAAACTCAGGGAATTTCCCAACCAGGAGTTGGCAACTGTGTGGGGCTAAAGGACCCGGAGGAACCACTTGCAGTGGGAAAGGGGAACCAACAGAAATCCCCCCTCCCTATCCGCTCACTTGGATTCACCCCACTTGGTTTTTCACATAAATGACGCAACTCAAGCTGATTTGCAGCACCTGTCTTGTGTTTTATCATTTCTTCTGCACTTTTATTTTTTATTTTGGCTGCGCTAGTCACGGGAGTGCAGAATTCCTGGCGGTGTGGGGGCTGGAGGGTGGGGAGTGTGGGGTTTGTAGAGCGGATGGACCACAGCGGGGCACAATGCCATGGAGTCCACCCTTCGATGCATCCATTTTTTCCGGGGGAGCTGAGCTCTGTGGCCTGGAAATCGATTGTAATTCCAAGAGATCTCTTGACAACCCTACATGTGAGATGGACAAACAGCTGTACAGCCTACTGACCTTTCGCCACAGCACACACGAAGTTGCCTTTCAGGGCTCTTTTTGTAGAAAAAGCCCAGCAGGAAATAATTAGCATAATGGGCCACACCCAACAGCAGGAACTCATTAGCATATTGGGCCACACCCCTGACAGCACAGCTCATTAGCACATTAGGCCACACCCACATGTTACCAGAAGTGTGGTTATCCAGCCACACCCACCTTTTGCTTGTTATTCTGTTTACCTTGTTTGTTGTCAAAACCCAGGGCTTTTTTGTAGCAGGAACTCCTTTGCATGTTAGGCCACACACCCCTAATGTAGCCAATCCTAATGAGTTTCTGCTGTTGGGTGTGGCCTATTATGCTAATGAGTTCCTGCTGGGCGTGGCCAACTTGGAAGCCAGCCGGAACTCCGCTCCTGTGCGTTCCTGCCCAAAAATAGCCCTGCTTGTACTAAATCAGACCCTCGGTCCAAGGTCAGTCTTGTCTACTCAGACGGGCAGCAGCTCTCCAGGGTCTCAGACAGAGGTCTTTAAATCATCCACTACCTGGTCCTTTTTAACTGGAGAGGCCGGGGATTGAACCTGGGACCTTCTGCATGCCAAGCAGAGGCTCTGCCACTGAGCCACGGCCCCTCCCCTCCTGTTCACCCAGCCACGGGCAATCCCATTCAGTCTCTTCTCCAGCTTCTGAGATTGCAACCAATATCTTACGTGAACTCTTCCCATCACAACTTCACATTCATAAAGAATAGACACCTCTTTTTAAAAAAATGAAAGCTGCCACTCTCGGGAAGCTGGATGCAGTTAGCTGTGCCTTTTCTGGATCCCTGCAGAAACATGTCACGGACAGTTCTCTGGCCATTTAGCACATCTCAGTCTGGAACTGGGCAGACCCTCCAACGTTGCACAGAGGACAAGAGAGAAGCCTGCAGCAGCCTTCCCATGCTCCTAACAAGGTTCACTGCTTGAGGGGTACCCCCCCCCCGATTCCATCTGCTCAATTCACGTAGTTTGCAGCTACCAGTCCCACAAACATAGGGTGTTGCAGTTTTGGTTAACAGATTCAGTCAATCGTCTCAGGGAAAAATAACGGCTACACCATCTGTTATCAGCGGTTCAAAATAGACCACGGCAACAGCCGTCCATGAAATGGTGGGCTGTACACAGCATAGGGTACCGAACATTGCAGTCCTGAACAGAATGACACCCCTCTAAACCCATTGCCTTCGATGGACTTTCAAGGGTATAACTATGTAAGCATTGTTCATTTATTTTACTTTGTAGGCTACCGTTCTTGCTGACACTTTAAGGCAGATTATCTGGAGTAAAACAATGCAATCCAATAGCACGAGAGATCTAATAAGCAATGCAATAGGACTAGGATTATAAAAATTAGAAACAGTGCAAAAAAGTATCACACATGATCTGTCAAGTGATGCAGAAAATGGAATTATAAAAGTAGGAAACAATGCAGTAAGAGCAGGATCGTGTATATAACAGATAGATAATACAAGTGGGGGGCCCGCGAGGACTTTCGGGGGCTACATCACTTCCTCCTCCATCACTATTTCCTCTTTTCCTTCCCTGAAAGCCCCCATAGCCTCTCCCCTTTTCCTGCTTCCTTCTTCCCACCCACCACCCAACCTACGTTTATCTGCCCACCCCACTCTTCAGCTTTCCCTCCTTCCTTCCTCATGGTAGTTTCTACCCAGGAAAATTGTGTAGTTGTTGTGTAGTGGGGAACCCGCAAGTACCTGTGAGGGGCATCCAATTTTCTCCTGTATCTCCCTCTACACACTATTACCTCTTGTCTTCCACCTGGCCATGTCCTCACTTTCCCCTGCTTTGTTCTCTCCTTCCCACCAACCTACCTACCTTTTATCTGCTCCCCATATTCAGCTATATTTTTAATCTATTTACTTCATCTATTCCCTGCCCTTCTTCATAATGGGGACCCAAACCAGCTTATGTCGCTGTCCTCTCCTCCATTTTATCCACGCAACAACCCTGTAAGTTAGGCTAAGAATGTGTGACTGCCCCCAAGGTCACGCAGTAGGGTTCCACGGCAGATCCCAGATCCTAGTCTGAAACTCTAACCACTGCACCACAACAGCTTTTGTGGGCTGATGGCTGTTGAACAGATTTGGCCACATTGAGAATCAAATATATTAATCCAGCATACACATCAGCATAGACTACAGTCCTGTTCTCTTTGTAAAAGTACCTTCCTGAACCCTTTCACTATACTACAACCCTATTCCCTTTATAAAAAATACCCCCCTGAACAATTCTGAAGCAGGGGGTGGGGCTTCGTCATGTGCCCTGCCCCCCGTACCTCACCCGGGTACTGCGATCCCCCGCGATCCCCCCCGAAATGACCTCTGGCTCCCTGTATTCAGCTATATTTTAAATCTATTTACTTCATCTATTCCCTGCCCTTCTTCATAATGGGGACCCAAACCAGCTTCTGTCGCTCTCCTCTCCTCCATTTTATCCACGCAACGACCCTGTAAGTTAGGCTAAGAATGTGTGACTGCCCCCAAGGTCATGCGGTAAGGCTCCACGGCAGATCCCAGATCCTAGTCTGAAACTCTAACCACTGCACCACAACAGTTTTTGTGGGGAAATGGCTGTTGAACAGCGGCAAGCAGCTGGGCCTGGGTGTGTCATGCAAGACACGTGGTAGTGAGTGGCCCAGCCATTACTGCCAGGGCTGGCTCCAATGACTTCTCCCTCATAGACCAAAACAGAGCTGGAAAGCCCCCCCCCCACACATTTGACTGCAGAAACCAAGGCTAGAAGGCTGACAATACTGCCTCTGAGGGCACTTGTTACAGGTCCTGCTTGTACTACTGGGGAAGGTGAATGCCCCAGTTTATGTATGACTTAATTATTTAGATTTGAGATTTTTTGTAACCTTAGGGCATTTTTCCATTTTGTTCATGGCTTCAGTCCCTGGTTTTAAGTATCCACAGATGTGGCCACATTGAGAATCAAATATATTAATACAGCATACACATCAGCATAGGCTACAGTCCTGTTCTCTTTGTAAAAGCACCTTCCTGAACCCTTTCACTATACTACAACCCTATTCCCTTTATAAAAAATAACCCCCCTGAACAATTCTGTTTTACATAGGTTGCAGAAAGGACAGAAGTGTGACCTCCTAGAGACAAACCACCCCACTCAGAGATTTAATTTCTAGCGACCCTGACGAGGAAGCTGAACTCTGAAGAATGGAAATTGACACCAATAACAAATTTTTATGAGACTTCCTCAAAAGGCAAATCATGAGAACATAAGAGACCATGATGGATCAGGCCAGTGGCCCATCTAATCCAACACTCTGGCCAAAACCCAGGTGCCATCAGGAGGTCCACCAGTGGAGCCTAGAAAAATCTAGGAAAAGTGATTTACCAGGACACAAGACCTGCTTCTAATACATTAGGAGAGTTTTGACCTATTACGGAACTGTTCCTATGGTTCTCCTGCATGTCTACTTTTAAATGAAGCGCTGAATGAGAGCAGAGAAACTGGCATGCCCTTGGCAGCGCTGAAATGGAACATGACACAAATTTAAAATCTATATGTGCTTGGTGTGTGTGTGTGTGTGTTAAGAATTCAAATTTAATGTTTGCATTCACAATATATTCAGATTTCCCTATGGAACCCTGAGTTTAGAGGACAATCACACACAAGTATTCATTCTGCTTGATGATGAAACTTACCAATCTCTTCCTAATGGCATCCATACCTGGGAGGGATTTTTGTGCGCTCACACATATCTAAAAAAACCAGGAGAACGTGTTTAAGAATTTTGGCCAAGGTCCCTTTGAGCTTTGATGCTTGGTCTGAAGGCACAGCACTGCCAATGATGACTTTTGACATCTGAATCACGAACCCAAAAACGGCATCGGCTCCTCTCTTTCCAGGCCAGCCTTCTTTTGAGAATGAGCAGAAATTCCGACGCCTCCCAGCCCACCGGTTTCCAGTCTACTCAATCAAACGCAAGCTCGGTGCTGATGTGAGAAGCCCTGACCGGACCTTGGAAGGGCAGAAGGAGTCTAAAGTCAGGCGGTCAGCATACGGGCCTATAGCCACGTGAGTAAGCCTGGGCCTCACTAGGAGGCGATGTAGAGCAAAGAAACATTGCCGCGGGGCAGGGAACTGGGGTCTGGGAATGTGGGACTGGGTATGTCCTCCTACACGCTTGATCTCTGATCACTGCAGCTTGATCCTTCTTACATGACAAAAAGGAAGGGCAGTGCTTCTCAATGGTCACAGCTATGGTGGCCAGTGTTCGCTCTAAGCTGAGTTAGTGTGAGCTAGCTCACAGCTTCTTAGCCTCCAGCTCACAGATTTTTGTCTTAGCTCAGGAAGGGATGGCTCCAGAGCAAACTAACTCATGCAGCAGCCAAATCGCTCGCTCACAACTTTAACGCCAGTAGCTCACGGAGTAGAATTTTTGCTCACAAGACTCCACAGCTTAGAGGGAGCATAGGGGCCATTTCTGAGTTGAGAAATTCATGACGATTTGGGGGGTGGAG